ACTGCAGTACATGAACCGTCCACCAGAGAGAGGTGTTGCTCCTTTTGGAGCTTTTAGCCAGGCGAAGAAGAGTATTTCTTCTTCTTAACTTCCGGAAGGCCAGGTTACCACGTTTTTTGTTTATTTTAGACCWAACACTTGTTTCCTTTCGCACCAAATGTTGCACATTTTGACAAAAGTGACACCTTAATACGTGAAGTTTTATTCATGCAGTTCATAAAGTGAACAGCGCGAACTGCAGCACCGTCAAACATGGAGGAGGAGGAGACACCGGAGGAGCAACTGACGAAGAAACACCGCAAAGAAAAAAAGGACCTGCAGGGTTAGCTCATTTACTTAATTCATATACACACTGAAACTTTCACCTGCCCTGTCAGTGAAATTTCTATCTAATAAGCTGTTTTTTTATTCAGAGGATTTAGTCGACTTCAGCTGCAGTAAATAAATTTGCAATAAACTTGGAGACAGATGAAAAATTCATGTAAACACCCATGAWAAAAATGCACAGTTTAGATGTTTAATGAATGGAGACTAAATGAGAGCTTTGAGTTTTRAACTACAGTAAAGTAGGATGTAGTTTCTGCAGAGAGAAATAAAAACACTTCATTTACACCTGCAYTGGTGGGTCTTTTTCAGCTGTGTGTACGATAGTCTGTTATCGCATTGAGCCCAGTATATTTAGAACAAAAATGCTTATTTTGCCAGTTTTCCATGTGKTTATCTATAAGTGGGATTAATGTCATCTGCGACTTTCAATCATTTGTACCTTTTGCAAATATTTTGTCTCATTGCTTCTGTGTTTCATTTTCAGCTAAAATCCAGAGTATGAAAAATGGAGTCCCTAAAAATGACAAGAAGAGACGGAAGCAGCTGACCGAAGAGATTGCAAAACTAGAAGCTGACCTCAATGAGAAACACGAGGAAGAAATCCGGCAGCTCACATCTACAAGTGACACAAAGGTAATAAGTTGTGTTCAAGTAAACAAACRTGTCCAGTGTAGTTCTGCATTTATTTTGAAAAAGAACTTTTACTTTACCGCTGCAGCATTTTCGCCATCTAACAGACTTAAAAGTAGCTAAAATATTGACACTTTAGACTTTTTGTAATATTGCAAAAAACGAGGTCCTGTAAATCAACCCATACAGTTCAGAAACTTGTCCATTATGTTYTGACAAGCTTGCTATGAGAGAATATCTTACATTGCACAACATTCAGGAAGCATTGTCTCAGAAAGACTTTTGGTAAACATGGGTGTAGATCTGAAGAAGAGAYACGAATGTCATGAAAAGTTCAATTCTATTACATTTCGACACACATTAACAGYATTTGGTACAAGTACTTTAGTATTCRTGTTTGGACTTCCTGAATTCTTGYCACCRCGTTAACTTATGCAGCTTGACCTTTTGCTACCTTTTGTTCAATCTTGAAAGGTGGAGGAAGTGGTCAACGGTGTGGAGACCATGAAGGTGGAAGGTGGAGAACAAGAAGAGGCCAAACAGCCACGAGTAACTAAAGCTCAGAAGCGAAGGGTGAGAAACAGCTTGAAGTGAAGCTCGTGTCCACCAGCAGTGTTTCAGCTGGTGTACAGTGAAGTGCAGCAGGAGGTCTCATCTATTTTATATAAATGATGCTCTACAGGAGAAGAAGGCTGCGCAGGAGAAGGAAAGGGAAAGCAGGATCGCAGAGGCGGAGGTGCAAAACCTGCAGGGCGTGAGGCACCAGGAGGCTTTAAAGCTGGCTCAGAAACTAGCCCAACAAAAGCTCCAGATCAAGGAGATTTCTTCTGATGGCCACTGCATGTACAGAGCTGTAGAAGACCAGCTGGCCCAGCGATCAAAGGTGCAGCTTTATCTGTGSTATGGTCATAGTATGAACACCTAATCAGAGATGTGCTGAACGTAAATGTTTTATTTTAGCCGGGGTTGTCAATGAGTGTGAAGGAACTCCGGTCCAGCACAGCTGAACACATGAGAAACAATCCTGATGACTTCCTGCCTTTTCTTACCAACCCTAACACTGGTGACCTGTTCACTCCAGGTAAAACTGTAAAACTAACTTGTTGTAGAAGCACATATTACATTATTGTTTTTTTTTTTTGTCTTAAACTGTGTGTCCACATGTGAACACATTTGCTTTCAGATGAGTTTGAGAAATACTGCAGTGATGTGGAGCACACAGCAGCTTGGGGTGGGCAGCTGGAAGTGAGTGGCTCTAAATATTGTTGCATATTTGAAACTTTTGCTGTTTATGTGTAAATTGTTTTAAATTATATTGTACTAAAGTTTTTTTCTTTTCTTTCACAGCTTCGAGCTTTGACCCAAGTTCTTCATTTACCAGTAGAAGTGATCCAGGCCGACTCCCCGGCTATAAAGATTGGGGAAGAATATGGTGGTGAAACTATCACACTTGTGTAAGACCTGTTTTCAGTGTTTGTAGAAGTAAATGTGTAAAGTCTCTGTCACATTAAAACATTTTAGACAGCTTGTTCCAACTTAAGACACTTTCATGACTAAATGACTCAAATAGGTAATATCAAATTTAATCTATCTAATTGTTAGCATTACAGTATGTGTATGTCCAAAATCATCCTCCAGTAGATATGTTTGAATCCATATTTAACGTAGACATCTTCATTGTTCGATAAAGTGTTCACAAGTTGGCATAAGTTGTTTAAAATGTTATCGTGTGACGGGATCTTGTGAGGTTAGAAACATGATGTGAAGAAAAGGCATTTTGGCTGAATTTGCATGGACTCCAGTTAAGACATTTAAAGCAGGYTTGACCACAGATGTTTAAATTTTACAATGTAAAAAGTATTTCCATCTAAATTAGGACACTTTCAGAAAGAGTTTTTAGAAAGTATTATTGCTTGCATAAGTTTATCTGCAGAACAAACAGTTCATATACAGTATAAACTTTATTATGKTATATGAGACAGTTTAACAGCTTGAAAATATAAAATAACTGAACACATTAAGGTCAAACAGTTTGTAAAGCCAGTGCATGAGACAGGTTCCTACCTTTAGCTAGTACAGTTGCTAACGRTTTTTCTTTGATCTCTTAATCAAATAACATATTTTTTGTTTGTTTTCAGATACATGCGTCATGCTTATGGTCTTGGTGAGCACTACAACAGTGTGGAGCCACTAAATGATCCAAACGGTGTCGAGGACGTGTGACATAAACCAGTATGAGTACTGAAGAATCCTCAGGCTTCTTCCAGAAAGAACTGTTAAACTGTGTCTCAGAGATATAAACTTAACAAAGACTGCTTTGGTTGTTGGGTGGATAAAATGCAGAGTGCAACTTTTAAAGTTGAAATAAAATGAACATGCAGTGTGAATAAATACTTCCCTCTAAAACAGTATCATACTCATAAAATTGTCAGTAATGAAATTCACGAGTTATTTGTAATTTTACACTCCTGAGTCACTCAAAGAATCTTTAAAGGTCTCTTGTAACTTGTTTTAGAATTAAATGTTTTCTAACAAGTTTTAGTAGGGAAAGTTGTAGCTTATTAATGTTGCCCAACTAAATGTCAACAGAGTAACAGCTTGAATTTTATTTAGTGAAATAAATGTATTTATATTTTAACATAAAAGTCAAGCAATGTTTATGAAAGAGCTTTTTGTTAACTGAAAGTTTCCTTTATTTACATTTATACAAGCCCCAAACTTGCATTATTTTCTTAAATGACACGATCAGATCAGTCTGTAAGAAAATTAACACACTAAATGTGAATAAATACATGTGATTTGTTTACACAATGAGCATTTAGGCAACAACTTTATAGCCACCACCAGGCTGAGTTTCCATCAGACCTAGCTTCCAGGCCCAGACCAGGCTTCACAGCTACCAGGCCAAGAACAGTGATTACATCCATCAGGTCCAGTCGTTGTGGCTACAGTAACAAAGAGGACTAGGCTCACAAAGTCCAAGAGCTGGTCGAACACTTGGATGTTAGTGAGGCTGTTTGTGGCCTTCCAGTGCTGACAAAATGACTAAGAAGGKACTGCTCAAGGACATGCATTAATAYGTKAAYGGCAATTTTCAAAGTTGGATCTAAATAAGGTACAAGTCTGAAAAAAGAAAATGTACATAACCAGAGTGAAGTGGCCAATTAACTGTTTAACAACAAACCAAACATATCAGCACAAAAACCACATTGCAGCTGTCYGGTATGGGGATTATTTGATGTTATTCACAAACTGRGCACTTTACAGACATTGATCATGAACAACTGTGCACCAAAATACTCAGTCAAGAGTGAGGAGTCCAACTGCTGAAACYTGGCCCAATCTGGAGAGTTGTACTGTGACATGAGGTACTACTGTAAATGGTTTTACCAACTTTCATGAACTCACTTTTTTGTTCAAACACAGCAACAGATCTTCAACACAACTCTGATGGCCTTAACTTTAATCAGCATAGTCAACTTAAATGGCGTCTACAGAACCTGTTGGAAATTGATGAGTACAAACCACTGTGGTTRTTCAAATGGCAAAATTTAGATGCTTTGACTGATAACACAATCAAGTTTTATGCSTTAGACGCTGTACTATCATTAGCTTAGATAGCTGTGAACCAATGAAAAGCTTTGTTATTAATCTCATGCAGATAGAACCTAGTTTCTGTAAATGATGGTCAGGGATCAGTTGAGCTGAGACCAGTCTCAACATTAATTTTGAATGTTTTGTTATATTTTGTTTCAATGTAAAATACTGCACGACATTGAGAACGTCTTGCTTTTGCTTTGTGTCCAGCTTTTCTCTGTATAACCATCAATCAAGCAAGTGCAAAGCTTTAAAGAATGCATTTTACTGCGGAAAAACAAAATAAATACATGGAACATAAGAGTCACAAGTTGCCTGTTGTCTTTCTTTACTAAGAGAAGCTGTCTCTGGACAGAAATCCTGGGTCGGCCAAATGTCTGTTTACAAGTTGATCATTACCATTTTTACTAATATAAAATACTTCCTCAACATTTGCTCTCTAATATCCACACAGAGCAGCAATTGTGTGAAAATTTTGCTTTTGGTTAAAACATGATGCCATCACAAAACAACAGCAACAACAAAATATAATACAAATGAAAGGAAAAGGGCAATAAGCTGCTGCATGTAGATCAGTATACAATTTTTTTTGTAAATTTTTAAAATCTCATGGGTAATGATATAGAATAGATTTCTTTTCTACCATAGGTCCAAAATTACACACATGTACAAGTTTAACATGCCAGTGACTTTCTCATTACAAAGATGTTTTTTTATATAAATTATAAGAATAAAGCTAAAGCTCCAGATTTACATTTTAAAATAAACTTCAGCAACTCGTTTTTTTGTAAAAATCAAAGTCTCCTTTATTTATTTTCAACAAATGTTTTATACACCTCAAATATAGAGATTTTTATTTTCATCTTTATTCACCACAGAGCAAACCGACACTGAACAGAGGAGTAAGCTTCCAGAAGAAGGTCTMTTGAAACATACATAATCGGAGTAAAGTGGACAATTAGTTGCCATGTTTGTCAATAAACCAAACAACAYATCAGCACAGAAACATCACATACCAGCTGTCAGGCACAGTGAATATTTGAGCTTATTTTGCAGGAACTGGGCACTTTGCAGACATTGATCACAAACGTCTCTGTATCAGAATAATGAGTCAAATACGAGGAGTCTTATCTGYTGAAACTTGTTTTAATGATACAATGGTTTTGACCAAATGTAGTGAACTGAACTCACWTTTCTGGTCAAACAGCAGCAGATGTTCAGCAGAACACTTACACAACTCTCTGATGACCTTAACTCCAACCAGTCATCTTAAACTGTCCTTACTAAATCTGTAGGAAACGGATGTATTTCAAAGTTCTTTGTTTATTCAAAAGGCCAAATTTGGGTGTTTTGCTTCACGACTTAATTAATGAACTGAACTCTCATTACTTAAGACAGTTGTGAACCAAAGAACAACTTCTCTCTGAAGCCTTTTATCTTAGCAGTTTTTGTTTATTCCTACATTAACCCCACACAGGGTAATAGATCTCTAAATAAAGTTTGTCACATACACATATGCACACTGCATTTACACTGTTTCTACAATGTTTCAGTGAAAATMCGCTAKTTTATTGARTCAGACTSTCTGACTGAAAGATATCCAGAYATTCATCTTCCCAACATTTTCCTGCACAACTTGGAGGACCCTGAGGCMTTCACAACCATCAAAACTGCAGTCCGTCTGGCACTCTATACCCGTTGGCTGCTCCAGGAGTCCCCCAGGATATCTGAGTCCTGAAGACCTCCTTCTTCAGCTTGAGGGCCTCCAGAGGTGATGGAGACAAACATGTTCTGCTTTCGTAAATTGTTAGAGGTTTTTATATTTTTCATTTAATGTGTTCATTCTCATAAATGTGTTTGCTCTGTCTGCAGTCTAACTGAACAAGCCTCACCATGCCCCCACACTGCTTCTGGTGTCGGCTGAAACCAGACAGCACCTGCACCCTGTCACAGTT